ATAAGTCAAAGTAACTATGGATCTTTTACTTGACCAAAGCCATGTGCAGAGGGCGGTGATGCCCACTTGGCCTTTTCTTGTCTTCTAAAGCAAGCGAACTACTTCTGCAAGGTCTTTCAGGAGCCATCCTATAGCGAGCGGGAGGGCAACCCTCTGCTGACACAATTCGCCTATTAGATATTGCACTTTTAAAAAACTTTTCATTGTGGAAAAAACTAGGCTTTGTATAATATGAAAAGCACTGGGCTAAACTGGAAGAATAGTCTCTGTTAAAATGTCCATGATGTTTTTATGTGTTAGTTTGGTAGATATTTTCAAAATAAATGTGGTACACTCTACAGGTAAAAACATGTGTTACTTGCCACTGTGTTGCCACTATAGAGAACAAATACCATCAAATGTCATTTAGCAAATAAATACAATAAATGAATAAGCAAGTAGAGAAGAGAGAAAAGGCAGGCATACTGAATTTTTATCAGGAAAAAAAAAAAGAAGCTGACAGTAGCAGACAGGAAGAAGATCACATTAACAATGAGTGAAAGAACCAGCTAAGCCCACTTCCTTTTTATTGGTTTTAGTAATTGTATGGTCATATCTGGGAGAAAGAAGGAGGGAAAGATGGGTACAGGAAAGAAGGAGGGAAAGAAGTGAGGCGGAGAAGGAGGGAGGGAGGAAGGGAAGAAGGAAGGAAGGAAGGAAGGAAGGAAGGAAGGAAGGAAGGAAGGAAGGAAGGAAGGAAGGTTGGTTCACTTTTTACTTTCAGTGGGACCACAGCCCCTTCTCATGTATCTGAGCAGGGACAGATAAACTATAATAAAGCAAACCAACAATATGTTACACTCTTGTGAACTTCATTATTTTAAAACCTAAATTGATAATATTCTATTTGAATGTACGTATCACACTTCTCTTTTAAAAAGTAAAAGGATTATTCTCATGACATCAGCTCTTCGGGAAACTGCTGCTCCAGTCTTGTGACTTGCTCCCTCCCAGTGCAGTTCCTTCTCCTTTTTGCAGTCCTTTGAACACCTGAAAGGGGCTGGTTTTCAGTTCCTCTTCCTTCTTGCCTGAGACTCCCCTGAGCACACGTCTCCACCTTGGGGTGACTCATCTTACCACTTCCTGGAGGTCTAGGGGTGGGAGAGTTAGTGGAGGAATGTAAGGGTACTGGAAGCACTCTCACTTTATCATTTTCTGTACATCAGCGCTCTGCACATACGTATTAGCTCTAAATATACACAGAGAGAATCCAAGAAGTCACCAGGTTGTGAGCCTTCCGGGAGGCTCTGGGTGAGAATTTATTTTTTTCACAATCAACTTGTTGGTAGAATTCACTCCTTTACGGTTCTAGGATGTAGGTCCCTGTTTCTTTCAAGAACTTCTAGGGCTGGCCAAATAGCTCAGCTGATTAAAGTGCCTAGGAACAGGCACAGGGGCCAGGGGGATCCCTGGGCCTTCTGTAACAGCCCCGCCCCCAGCAGTTGTTTAAAAAGAAAAATCTCTCATCTACACTTTAAATAACCTTAAACTATACAAATAAATTTATTGTCATAAGTTAAAGTAGATATTTCCCTTATGCTAGTTAGAATAACGGCCTTCCACAGATATCCACTTTATAATCCTTAGAATGTAATCCTTATAATCCTTGCTAAAATGGTAATTGAGACTGGGCATGGTGGTGCGCCTATAATCCCAGCTCTTGGGAGGGTGTAAACAGGCAGATCACTAGGAGTCCGATCTAGTAGTGAGACCCTGAACACCCCATAAACCATTCCATAAAATACAGAAAAAGAAAGAAAGAGAGAGAGAGAGAGAGAGAGAGAGAGAGAGAGAGAAAGGAAAGAAAGGAAAAAGAATTTCTAAGGCCCACAGTATTCCTTAATTTAATACATTTTTTTTCATGGTTAAAGCCAGCCATGTGGCTGAAGTCTTTATCAATTTTTGGTGCAGCGCTGGCCCCGCCCCACAGGTGCCCTGAGCCAGGGAACAAGTCGGGCATGGTGGCTGGCGCTCTCCTGTCATCCCCACGATGCGGAGGCTAAAAACAGGAGGATCACTACAAGTCCTACCTGCGTAGTGAGACCCTGTATCAAATACATAAATGAATAAAAAAAAAAACTTTATTGAATTACTGTGCTGTGGGACCCATTCTGTCTTAGCTTCACCTACTTTTAAAGACTACAGTGGCAGGACTGGGAGCCTTCGGTACAACACAATCCTCCCAGCTCAAAGTCTTCAATCTTATTTATTTCTTCAAAGATTTCTTTATACATTCTAAGGATTTTAAGGTAGATATCTGTGGAAAGCCTTTATTCTAACTAGCATAAGGGAAATATCTGCTTTAATTTATGACAATAAATTTATTTGTATGGATTAAAGGTATTTAAAGTGTACATAAGAGATTTTTCTTTTTAAACAATCATTATGTATAACTATAACAAACCATGGCATATAGGCATTATGAAAGGGAAAGAAACTTCCTAAAGAGGAAAAAATAACTGGGATGGGGAAAGAAGAAAAGAAGGTGCAAGACAATGAAAATAATTGTGTTACTAATTTGTTAGTTGATTGAAAGGAACAGTTATTGTTTATATTATTTGACCAATCTTACATGCCCGCCTCTCTCTATCTATCTATCTATCTATCTATCTATCTATATATATATATATATATCTGGTAATCCAAACAACTACTTTGAAGATAACAATATGTGATATAATAACCATTCTTTATTTCCTATCATCTTGTTTTAAAATTCTGTATCATTTTTATGTTTTATTATTCTCTTAAAAAGAAAGAAAATATTGCTATGTATAATTCCCAATTGGTTAATCAATTGAAAATTATGCACTCACTTTGTTATCAGAAAATTCAGAAGCGCAGATAACAGATTTCACTTAAAAATTCTGAAAGAGGTCTGTGGCACAAGGTGGTAAAAATAGGCAATAAATGTTTTTCTCCTAGATTTTCCCTCATCTAATTAATGAATCAAATTGCTGTATAGGATGGAAATTCTTATAATCTCATACATGCACTCACGTCACACAATAAAACCAAAACCCAGACTAAGAAGATAGATATGAAACATCAAGAGGTTCAATTAGAGAAAATAACGTAACCCGACTCCTAAACACCACTTGAGGGTTAATGCGGTGTCTGAATGCACAGCATGATGTACTGTACCTGAGATATCGAAGAAACTGAGAGTACTTCAATTCCCCTCATTTAATTATTTTAAATAAGCAAAGTTTATAGATTCTTATTTTCAATGTACAGCAATGAAAAATCTATTATATATCTATTGTTTCTATACTTTCCAGAGCCTTTCAAGAAGTTAGTCATAATATCACCAGCATTGTTTAGGAAAAATTAGTCTCAGTAAAAGCGAGAGTGTTTTTTTTTTTCCTCTACAATTTGCATGAAGTCATATTACTCCTAAGAAAAATTAAAGGATTTTAAAATGAAAAATTCTTTCTGATTCATCTATACAAGGACAACCACAGCTAGAATCTCGTTCCATAGTAGGTATACGGTACATTACAGTATAATAAGAAAAATAATTGAGTAATACAACAAAAATTCTTAAAAATATTGAGCTTTTGATTTCATTTTAGTGTTTAAATTGCATAGTAATGCTTAACACTACAATACAAATAATTAGAAAAGAACTGAAGTGGCTGTTGAAAATATTCTGAAAGAAATATTTTCAGACTAATCTGTTGAAAATGACTCTGTGAGGTAATAAATCCTCAGGGCTGAGATTCTCAAACAAGCACTGCATCATTACTATTCATCTGAAGGAACTAAAACTGAATAACTTGCAGCATTTTTCCCATTGTAAAGCTGTTGGATCACTGATAATTTTGTGTTTCTGGCTCTGGGGGATTATTGCACTTGTAATCTGATATTCATAGGTCAGGGGAGATAGCTCAGCAGGCACAGCTGCCTGCCTGGCAAGTGCAAGGTTCTGAGTTCAATTCCCTACACTAAGATAAAAGAAAAATTTGATACGCACAGTATTTGTTTGTATATATTGTGTTCTCCTTTCTCCATAACTAAGGCATGAAAAGCCTAACATATCTAGAAGTCAGTTGTCATAAGCAGTGAGAAGATTCACTTTCCTTTGTTTCTGGGGTTTATCCCACCCAGTCCTGCCAACAATAGAGAATGAAATCCCTCTTAACTCAAAAGCCAGACCGTGAAAGTTATATTTTAAATTCTAGGTCATCCTCTGGATTTTGGTTTGAAAAATACTAAGTGATGACAATAACAAATAGAAATTTTTTTTAAAAGAGTTAATATACAAAAGTTTAAACTAGAAAATAGGCTTCTTATATTTTTGCATGGATTTTTTTTAAATGTTAGTTTAATAATGAACCTGTTTAAATTGTTTTAAACAATATTTGGCATATTGAAAATTATGAAATTTTTCAGTACAAGCAAACTCAGGCCATCACATACACGGTTCTTGTGGGTGAACTCCAAGTGACATCGCGAGCCACACCACAAGCTCAGTTTTAGTGTCTCTACCACTTTCTTTTCTACCAAATTGCATAAGGCGATTTGGGAAAAACAACCAGTCCAGTCCAATTTTCCACAGTGAACAAAGGAATAAAATCTAAAATAGAAGCCAGGCATGGTGATACACGCCCGTAATTCCAGAACTTGAGAAGCTGAGGGATAGTGAGTTCAAGTCCAGCTTAAATTACATAGCAAGACCCTGTCTCAAAAAACTTAACAGAAAGCAACAACAGTCAAAAGAAGGAAGAGATTTATTTGAATATGAGCAAACTGGCTTTCCTACATTCCAAGTGTCTTGTGTGTACAATGGCGGAGGTTGTTCCCACTTCAACACAGGTTCAACGTTTGAGATAGATGAATCATTACTACTACATTTAGTCAAACTCCCAAACAAAGTTCTCATATCTTATGTAACAAGGAATTAAAGTAGTGAATGACTTCAATTTTAGCATAAATGTATTCTCTTTGATCTGTTTCAGGAAAGCAGTAAGTCATCCAAAAAGGCGACTGGGCATTCCCATGGACCGAATTGGTAGAAACCGGCTTTCCAATTCCAGAGGTTAACTGATTCCAACAGTGAGTACAATTTGAATAAGGTCTTTGATGAACTAATTGATCCATTCTGGCTTAAAATTCAACTGTTTGATTTCTTAGCTTATGTATTCATTGTTTTGTAAATATTTCTACATTCAATTCATGTATTGATGATAAATAACTTAAGAGACTTTTGGAAAGAAAATGAATATCCTAGATATGTTTCAAGATAAGTAAAAAGTTGAACTATTTTCATATGCTTCTATGTAACTGTGAAAATTAATGTGCAAATAGTTTATTTCAAATAGTTGAAATTCTATTTAACGCAACAAATTGACTTTAAATATATATATGTAGAAAGTCCCTTTGTTATAAAGAACACACACCCAAGTAATATACACCATTTTGTTATTGATGAATGTTACCATACTTAGGATGACATGAAATTTTAAAAGAAAATGGCGTAGCAGCAGAATATTAGCCAAACATCAAATACCTCATCCAAATCCTGGTTTTGTCATTCACACATTCAATATTTTGTTTCTGCCAAGATATCAGCCTTTTACATTTGAATAACACTCTGGTGATAATGTGAATGTTAAATTAAACATGTGTAGCAGACTTAGAAATACTGGACACATAATATTTTCAAGTGATGGCAATTTATGTTAGAGTTCTAAAAATAAACTGGCTCACTTGATGTAGTTAAGAACCTATACACGACGCTTCATACTCAGGGCCGCTGTTGATCATCTCTGCATCAAGGAGGACTGAGACGTCCTCTGGTGTACCGAGCAGTATTATAGTGTAGGGGACTGGTACCAAGCTTGGGATCCCAGGGTCTCCGCTCAGATCCCCAGTCTTCTGTTTGTTAGCTGCAGGGCCTTACCTGGATTCTGAACTCCCTCTTCATGAAATGAAGGCAGTAATAGCTTCTAATACATAATACTGTCCTGAGGATTAAATGAATTTATATAGAGATAGAGATATATAGCTATAGATAGCTAGCATGTAAATGCTTCATTAGCGGCAGCTGTTACACAATTAAATGGAAGGCTTAACTACATCAAGTGAGCCAAGATGCCACACAGATAGAAAGTTATGCGATTGAATTAAAACCCAGAAAATTGAAATCCTGTTTCTTTTTCAAACATCTTATGTAATCATGCGTGTCCGACATTTTAATAGTTCTGGAACGAGAGACGCAGGTGAGGCTTTCCTGTGAACGGGACTGGCAGAAGCCATCGCCTTCCTCCCAGACACTTAAGAAGCCTGGATCTGCTTTCCCAGCTTCAGGCTGAAGAGGAGCAAATGCTGTCCTACCCCTCTCGGTGATCCTCAGACCACCACTGTAGAAACTCAGAATCGTCGCGTTGACCTCGAACCTTTCAAAATTTAACTGACTGCATGTTTCCTTTCTCCTCAAATGCTTTAAAGCCACAAGAAAGGATCTATATTTTTATTAGAATAACTTGATGAAAAAATGTTACAGAGATTTGTTCTTTGGGGTTTTTATTTTTTGTGGAACCGGGGATTGATCTCAGACCCTTGCACTTGCCAGGGAAGTGCTTATTCCACTGAGCCAACTCCCTGGCCCCTAGGGATTTGTTGATTACTGAGGTTTTGCAGTTACTGAATGCCCATGAATACAGGGACGTGAACCAAATATGGGCAAGAATGCACCTCCTGAAATAGCACCATCTTTAAAAGTCAGATTGAAATATTTTTCTTCGTGTCTAGTGGTATAGCAAATGTGGAAATTCCTTGGGCTTGCTCATCATTGCCACTCTATATGTGAGTAGGTTTAAGACGACTACTATGGAAAAGCAAGTAACTCATGGCATCAGCTTTCTGACTTCCAGTTCCTTGATGCGTGAAGATTATGACACTGATATTAAAATAATTAAGGTTATTTTCTACATATATTTTGCCAGGCTTGATTATCACCCATTTTAACATTTTTCAATTCTACCAAAGCAAGTATGATTAGTTATTTTTAAAACCCTCGCTTTCATATATATATATATATATATATATATATTCAAATTAAGTCTTGGGCCACAGAAACTCGGGAGACGGTTACTAAGTTATAAAGAAAGTTGAAGTAGTATAATGGTTCCTGAATTATGCTGTGTGAGGCCCAAGTCAACACATTGTGTCGCTTTCTTAGCAGTCTTTTGAGCATCCTGACATTTACTAACCTAATATTAAATCTTAGTAAGATTTGCTACCTTAAAATCTTTTTAATTTTACTGAGAAACAAATAGTAATGAGAGTTTCAAAACAGGTTAGTAGGACAGTTTCAATAATTAATACATTGCATAATATTGTCTTCATAGTAGTTATTCATAGTACATGATGCAGACATGATATCTTGTCCAAACACTATTAGTACAAATATTTATTCTCATTGAATTAAGAGAAAGTAGCTGTATATCTATCCTAACTATTTTGTATATATAGATGTAAATTGGTCCTTCACTTATATCCCCTTTTTTTTTGTTTGGGCATCAGAAATGAACACACACACTTCTCAAGAGGACAAAATTATAGAAGCAAATAAATATATGAAAAAATATTCCACATCACTAGCCATCAGTGAAATGCAAATTAAAACAACACTGAGATATCATCTCACCCAGAAAGAATGGCTACCATAAAGAAATCAACCAACAACAAATGTTGGAGAGGCTGTGGGGAAAAAAGAACTTTCTCCACTGCTGGTGGCAATGTAGACTGGTGCAACCATTATGTGAATCAGTGTGGAGACTCCTTAAAAAGCTATCTTAAAATCTTAAGAGCAGTATTACAGAAGAATAGGTTTAGAAAAGAACTTACCAAAATATACATTTTTTTTTCTTCTGTTAATCACTTAGAAATTTCCCATATAGTAAGCCATTGTTTCTATTTATTATTTCTCACCACTACCCCAAGATTTTGAGCTGGGGAGATAGCTCAGTAGAATAAGAGCCTGCCTGGCAAGCACAAGGTCCTGAGTTCAATCCTAGGGACCACACAAAAAAAAAAAATAATAACTCACCCCCAAGGTTCTGCAGATACTTTTATTTGATTTCCTCATGAGAAGTTTCTTGCTTTACTTGAATAACAACACCCATAAAATATTCATATATTTAAATTTCCATTCAAATTTTCAAGGTTATTTTTCACATGTTCATTTCTACTCCCTGTATCAATCAGGAGCTGTCGTGTACATGTCACTGACTAGATACAATTTAGTAACCATAAAATAGTGCTCGCATACTCACACTGCTCAGTAGTTAGATTCAAGAACTTGAAGTCTTAGCTCATCCAATGCTAGCTCATGAAATTGCTCAGCAAATAGGTGCAGCAAAAAGAAACTGATTCATCCAAAGTTTTACATGCACTGATGGCCACAGTGAGCTCTAGGACCTAGAACTTTGGCCTCATAAATCAACCTTCCTTTCATGATCCATTACTTGGTGCTCAGTCATCATTATTGGGCGCTTCGCCCTCTGGTTCACATTTCCAGCAAAATAAAGCAACTCTTTCACAGATCTTTGCTTCGCGCCTGTGGGTGTCAAGTATCCTCTTCAAAGCAAGCTTAGCTGTGGGTTTTCACCTTCTGGCTTTTGCTTTACATTTTCACTCTCATATTGAAACTGGTACCTAATCGTGGAAGTTTTGCATAGTTTAAGGTCAACTCTAGATACAGCAGCTTTGTGTCATCCTGTTTCCAACCAAATGGCAATTTCCTCTCTGATACACAGTTTGGAAAGCAACATAATTTGAAATTTTTACAATGTTCTCTACAAAGTCTTCATTTAAATTTATTATTAAATGATTGAAGTACATGAGGCTTATATTCATCTTGGGCAGCTCGTACACGTGCATTGTACAGCTTGTTTCTTTTCTTTATTCATTCTGGAGAGGGTCTCACTATGCAGCTCAGACTCATAGTGATCCTCCTGTCTTAGCCTCCCCAGCGCTGGGATTACAGGTGTGCGCCACCACTCCCAGTTTCAGAGACTGGCACAGGGCACCCAGGATTCCAGGGTTGGCACAGCATACAGTACCAGGGATTGAACTCTGGTCCTTGCGCTTGCCAGGCAGGCGCTTAGACCACTACACTTTCTTTGCAGCCCTTGTTTCTTTTCTTAATCCCTTTTGCCTTTCTGTACTCCCTTTGCCTCCAAATTTTCTTTCCCCATTTTTATTATTTGTCACTCATGTTAATGATATGCATAAACTCACCGAGGTTATTAGGTTTGTACACATGGCACGTCTTTTTTTTCTCTGATGAATTTAGGACAGTGTGTATAGGGTGTACAGGGTCTCACTACGTAGATCGGACTCATAGTAATTTTTCTGTTTTCAGCACCCCAAGCGCTGGGATTATAGGCATGTGCCACCATGCCAAGTCTCAATCACCCTCTCAGCACCCCCAGGGGATGGGGCCGGCACAGCTTGCTGGGGATTGAACCCCGGTCACTACACTCTGCTGAAGCAGGCACTTTAGTCCACTGAGCTATCTGGCCGGGCCCACATGGCACGTCTCAGTTCTTACCCCGCTTCCACTCCTATTCTCTGCTCCGCCTTGGTTTCCTGGACTCCTTCCCATTTGCAAGAGACCTACCTCTTATTTTGTTCTATGCATCACAATCTCTGTTCTTTGTGCCTTATCTGACTTAAGTGAGAGACACCGTATGGTGTTTAATGGGGCCTGACTTGTTTCACTTAACATATTTTTTAGGTACATCCTTTTCCTCCAGAAGTCTTGAATTTACTCTTAAGAGCTGAGTTGTAGTCCACTATATATAAACGACATATTTTCTTTATCCATTTGTCTGTTCATGGGCATTGCAGCTTACTTTCAGGATTAACTCACAATTACGAATAGTTCTACTACAAACATTGCTATGTGTAGCAATGTTTACGGCAACACAAATCTTCAATGTATTCAAGTTTGTAATAGACTTTCCACTAAACTACTGAAATTCACAGTGCCATCTTTGTCTAAATTATCGTAACTTCTCTAGATGTGATTAGTGAGCTTTCTGTCTCTGCCTTTCACATCAGATGCCCACCTGGTGAAATTAGGTATGTGATGAGTAATTATCCTGCCACTTAATACCACAGATATCATCATAATTTTTTTAATAATGAGATGAATGTTGATTCTTTTATACTGGCAATTTTTTTAATCTAAGAAATATTGATACTTCATAATTTAAACAAAGTAATATAATTTTTAATTCTAGCAGGAATATTACATGTAAATACCAGTGGATTATTGGATCCTATTTACATGAGCAAAATATACAATTATCCCGTGCTACCTTAACAGTAAACATGTTATAGCCTGCTTTTCTTTATTGATCTTTTGTTTCTCATCACAATATCTTTTAAATAAAGATTAAGCACTCAAGAAAGTAATAGACAGTAGACATCTGAAGAAAGGGGCTGTGACAGAGACATTTTATAAGTTTTATTAAAACTTGAATGTAAGCACTTACATGATGCTCTAAAAATGCTTAATTAACCCATTTTGATCTGAAATTATACTGCTGTTTTTCCATCTTCAAAATAAAAACATTCCGTGCAAATAAAAGCTATAATGAAGCATCATGGAGTCAGAGATTCAGCTGTGCTCTGTGGGGCAAATGTATTTTCCTTGATCTACTGCATGCCTATTAGCTTTAACAGCATCAGCTTTTGTTTTTGTAGATGCAGATTCTTCCTGCAAAATATCACGTAAACCAGAAGATGCTTCAGGGAAGTTCTTCGGACTCTTTCGTGATTGAACTTTGAATGAACTGATTTCTGCAAATCCTTCTAAAGCTTGAACTTCAGCCCCTCACAACCTAGTATTGTTTCACTTTTATTAAAATGTTGATCATTTCAATGTATGTATATTTTTAAAATATATATTTAATTATTTAGAAATGGTTACCCTAAATCAGACTTTTAAAACTAACAGTCAAAATATACAATAAAGTGCCTTCTCTGTGTATATTGCCATTCTTTTTTATTTATGGTTAAAGAATAATAATGAAAGATTTGTTTCTGAAAACTTTGCTACAAACTGTTTATTATTTAGGAATAAGGATGACATTATGTTGTATTTTCTTGTGAGTACTTCGATCTTTTTTTCTTTGTCTACAAAGCTGTTGGTTAGCAATAATGAAATTAGGTTTTTGTTATCACCTTCAGATTCAGTGAAGGTTAACCACATAAAATATAACTTGAGCTAACTGTGAAGCCCCAGTGAGTTACAGTTAAGGAATAGTGCTGGCTTGCTAAACTTCAATATCTCTTATCTCTTCTCATGAATTTTAACAAGTAGCTGGTTAAGAGGAGTTATGTTTCATTATGAATTGATTGACCTCAACAAAATAACAGATGAAAGTAGAGGAGAAGTTAAAGACTCCTAAAGTCCCCAGAGGATTCTGGAGGCAGAAAAGTACACGTTACTTTAGTACGATCTATACAAATTCAGGACTAGAGAGATAGCTCAGTAGAATAAGTGCGTGCCTAGCAATCATAGGGGTCCTGAGTTCATTCCCTGGTACCGAAAAAATAAATCTATTTAAACTCTTACAATCCATTTCCATTAAAATGCAATCTTTTTTGAAGTTACTAGTGCCTCTAATAAATGATTTACTATTTCATAACTTTGCTTAATAAGGCATTGAAGAGGATAAAGTATTTGCATATGATTTATTTAAAATAAGCCCGACTCCTTGAATTAAACTATCAAAGCATAAGGTTTCATATTTTACAAAGTTCATTTATCAGCGATAATTGATTTTAGAGTAGTCTGGGCACATAAGCCCACTCTGCTTCAGAAATGCATTCAAAACATACACACACACACAAAAAGCATCAAATGCACCACAGATTCAGCATTAGTTACTTATAGAAGTTTATAGAGTATTTGGTATGTGTTTTTTCTTTAAACTGTAGTAGTCACTAAGAAACAATCCTGATGTGGAAACAAAAAAGTTTGGTCCACAAAGGGCAAGATTTATTTTAGCATAAAAAGAAATATTATGAGATGTCTTCATATTAAAAGAAAAAAATGGCTATTTGATAATCTAAATTAAAAATCAATATATAATTCAAAGAATAACCTTAACCATCATCTTGACAAAAATATAATAGAAAGGAATTTAACTAAATAATGGACAGTTATAAATGATTAATCATTATGTTATTAAATGTGTCTTTAAAAATCCAGATTAAAATATATAAAAAGAGATAAGATGAATGGACATGAGTACTTGGGACACAGTGGTTTTATATATAATATCTTTATTTTCTTTAGATTTTTCAAACTGCTAAAAGTCTTCTAATTTTACTTTAGGAAATAACATAGTAAGTGAGTATATATTTTAACTATAGTAGAAAATTGTACTGAAAAAGAGATGATTTTTTTTTTGGTGGTATCAGCAATCAAACTCAAGACCTTGCACTTTCTAGGCAAGCCCTTGCCCGCTGAGCTATCTCCCCAGCCCTAAGAGATAAATTTTGAGAAAACTAAATAATCGTATTCTTCATAAATTTATATTGAAAACCTAACCATGAGCCATGGGTAGGACTAACAGTTTGAGCAATTATTTTAGAAATAACAGTCTTAAGGGGCAGCCAAATACCTCAGACAATGAAAGTGCCTACAAGCAGGTGCAGGGACCTGGGTTCGATCCCCAGGCCTGCTGTGCCGGCCTCGCCCCCAGGGCATGCTGAGATGGCAATTGAAACTAGGCCTGTAATCCCAGCTCTTGGGAGGCTGTAAACAGGAGGATCACTATGAGTCTGATCTAGTAGTGAGACCCTGAACACTATGTAGACCCTTCCCTAAAATACAAAAAAAAAAAAAAAAAAACCTGTAAATTTACTTTGACAGTATGTCTGTGCCGCATGAGTAGAAGACAGGATTATGGTTAGACCCCCCGCCTGGGGTTTATTAATGAAGTTTTTCAGTTGTAAGAAAGAGCAGAGGAACACAAACCTGATGAGACGGCCAATGAGTCTTCTTGTGCAGTACACAGTGGATCTAGCCTCTTGCAAGCACAATGCAGGTCTAATGCAGGTCTAAAGCTTCTGATGTTGTAGAACAGTCTTTTTTTTTTTTTCTTTTCAGTACTGGGGATTGAACTCTGTATCCTGCTCTTGCCAGGCAGGCACTTATTCTACTGAGCTATCTCCCCAGCCCTTGATGTTGTAGAGAAGGCAATCCTGGGAACTGAGGAACCTAAGGGCAAACTGTTGTGAACATCAGTTTTCTTATTATTCTATTATTTCTAAGACTTCCAACACTGCTTGTTCCAAAGTTCAATAAATGATATGTTTCTACTTGTTAGTAACATATTCATTTAGTTGTACTTATCTAACTGACAACTGTCCAAATTAGAGAACAAAGACAATAGCCTGAACAATTACTAAAAGGAGAAAACAATAATGCATACTTTGCACACAAATTGATACGATAGAACTTATTTTAGGTTTCTAAGACACCTCCTCAATTGATATCTTTAATCCAAGACACTTTTAGTTAAACTCATTAGCATAATCATCACATGACAAACTGTATAGACAAAAATTTATTAAAAATGTACAATAAATAACAGCACTCTGAACTTCAGCTCAAAATTCGTTTGGACATTCTCATGTCATTCAACAGTGCCACTGATTTGCCAATATTCACAACACAAATATCAAGGACATCATGACACAGTGTATAACAAGTTAGCAAAGAGAAAAATAGTATGAAGAATAAGTGCTGTGATTTCTTCATGCTTAAAAGAGCTGTACCATTTAAATAGTACACTATACAGCAATATCCTTCAATGGTGTTGTTATCCTTCTGCATCTAGAGAAAAGATCTAGACGCAGTATTTCCAAAAGCAAGCTAAAAACACAAACAGAAGACATTCTTTATTAGAAAGGTATTTTGAAACCTCACATTTCCATGAAGCAGTCTACTTAAGCTACCTGTATAAAAACATCTGCTAAATAGAGTAGCTGTTACTTTTATATAAATAATTAAAGCTGAATAAAAAAACTCAGCTTCTCCATCATAATGGCTGCTCCTCATGTGGTCAAAAATGACTTCTAGCTGGCAACTGTTAGTAGGAAAAATGCTAATTAGAGAATGCTATCATTGCAGAATGCTTCATCGGACAGCACTGTCACCGCACACGTAATACACGGTCCAGAGAACACAGTGGGTTGTCACCTCAGACTCACACATTTATGCCACACAAAGAGGAAGTCACCTAAGTAAAATAAGAGCTAAATGCACCCCTATTTAATGAGAAAAGAGGAAACAAAATAATTTAAATATCACTTTGCAAACCACCAAATAATTTTGAGTAGGTTCTTTCTATATCACTTTAAGCCTGAATGTGCTGATCATAAGTTGATGCTGCACATAAATCAAATTTAGCACCTTTTCAATCTCCAACTGCATAAATAAATCATGATGAATTGTCTGCAGGCCATTCCCAAACAATCGCCTTATGATAGCTTCACCTTACATTAAATGTGGTCACTATTCTCTGTCTCTCTAAGTGGCTTACAGAACTAAGACCTTTGGAGATCAGTCTTTGATTCACTATTAGTTAACAGTCTGCACAATGAAAAAGAGTTTTCACAAACCTCATAGAATAGTTCAGCCACTGGTCAAAATAAATAATAGTCTATCTGCTTGTCTAGCTTTCCCTCCCCCACTAGATTCACTTTCAAACCAAAACCCTTGAGCTCTTGGCCACATCAGCACAAAGCAGTATGACAGTGTTCAGCCTCTACTTCTCTTTTCTGCAAGAGCCACAGCTTTTCTTAAGGGAAACCACATTCAAACCCTGTGAAAGCCGAAGTTTATTTTCAGACGTGGAACTGGGGCTCTGGGCCCACTAACCTGATCTTCTTTTTCTAGCAGGCTTTGGAGAGCTATCATCACTGCCTTCTCTGTCCTTTGAATATCTCTGTCTGGCAGAAAACTATAGACCTACATTTAGCCCAGACTTGTCCCACATGAACGACTCCATTAAGTATGCAATGCAATATAGTTTGAAGAGCTTTTTGGATTCATTTGAAAGGAACTGCTATGAATGGTACTTCTGGAAGAGCCAACTCCCCAGTGCTCACATATCATTTATCATATGCATGAAGTTAAAATCCAGTCAGTATTCTGGTATCTCCTGAAGTCTGTCTAATCTACCCCTGAATTCTTCTTCATAACATGATGCTAAGTATTAGGCAGCTAAGCTTGCTGTAGGCACTTACCAACTATACTATATATTAAATGATTAAAGAAGATTATAACATTTCACAGTAAATATAAATTCTTCCTACCTTAAAGTGGATTTCTGGACTCACTTCATCTTAATTGGTATTTATGGCAGTCAGTATCTAGTTATGTCAATAGCACTGACTTCACACAAAATGCGGGTTAGGTTTTTGTGACCCTCACCCACCACCATAAACATTTACTTAGTCATTATCATGCAGGGAAGTGTTTCAGCATTTCCTTATCAAAATTAAATTAAATAACCAAACGTCTTTGACACTTTTACCACTCTAACTTCTTTCCCAATTTCTTTCCCTTTAGATCAAAATTCTTCAATGGGCTTGTCTACTGTCAGTGGATCCAGCTTTTCAGTGATGATCTCTTTAGTCAAATATTCATCAACAGTTCTTGCCAAAGCAATTAATGACCTTTTGGGTTTTTTTCTTTCTGGTACTAGGGATTGAATCAAGAACCTCACACATGCAGAAAAAGTACCATAGCCCTGACCTCCTTCTCTAGGCCTTGAGCCAATTTCCCAGACTGGCCTAAAACCTGTAATCCTTCTGTCTCAGCCTCTCAAATAACTGGGACTGAGTAATTTGGATGACAAACATGTGCCACTATGCCCCCAAATGGCATTTTATTGCTGAATTAACCTGAAATGTTTCAACTGTCATCTTATTGG